TTTTGAGTTTTTAAAACTGTCAAGCACTGATGGCCAAATATATTATCATCTATGACAAGCTGACAGGCTTTGTTGATGAGGTTCCTCAGGACAGTAAGGAGCAGTTTCAGGCCCTGATTGACAAGGGAAAGCTGGTGACTATCTTCTTCCTTCCGCACCCCTCACCACCTCTCCCCATCATTCAGGATGTAAAGTCGCTCCTTCAACTGGGGGAATGAAACTAGCAGCAAGGGGGAAACAGTTCTAGTCAAGGTACTCCCTCATCCCCAAAAAGATGGTGAGGGGACTGAACAATTTTGTCTGCATCTATCCTCTCTATAGATTTAGGATATTGATTCATGACCCTCAATCTCAAAGATCCCTATTTACACATGGACATTCACCTGGCACACAGAAAATTCCTGTTATTTTTGGCCAAACACTACCAGTACTGGGCGCTCTCTTTCAGGCTCTTGATGGTGCTGGGAGTTTTCACCAAGGTATTGTCGGTGGTGGCAGCTCACTTTTGTCCACAGGGGACAGCAGTGCACTCCTACTTTAGAAGATTGCCTCCGAAAGGATCGCGTGAAGCAACCACAATGCTTCTAGATCTGTTCAAAAGACTGGATCGGGGAAAACTTGGGGAAGTCCACTCCTTATTCTGAGTCAAGAGTTGTTGCCTTGGGAGAGGCGGCTGGCATAACAATTGCAATAACATGGGGTATGAGACCTGACGGATTCAACCAGGTGCAATGCGAATGACCTGTGCCTTGTTTTATTGGATTTTCCTCAATACCCTCTGTAACGGGAAGGGGGAGGGGGAGGTGTACCTTAGGGCCCCCAGCCATCACCTGAGGAAAGCGTTGCCCACGAGGCAACCCCCTCTGGAGCAGAAATCTTTGCACTTTTTCTTCATATTTGACACACATAGTATTGTGGTTTGGAGACCCTCGCACCCAAAACACGTCCTGTAGATTTTGGTTGTGCAGCTGCCACACATGTTATGTGGAGAGCTGTCTGCTCAAGGAGTATGCCATACTGTTTTGCACTCCTGGCAGATGCACAGTGGTCAGGACACTTTTTGCATAGGTATGGTGCAAGTTCCAGAGGGCGACAGCCTCCGCACATAGCTCCAAGGAGCACAATCCTCCCTGCTTGTTAATGTAATATAGCACCATCATATTGCCTGATAACACCTAGACTGACTGGCTGCAAATGTGAGAGGAATTGTCACAGGCCAAACTGACTGCTCTCAACTCCAACACGCTGAAGGGGAGCACAGACTCCTGAGGAGACCATGTCCCTTGTGTAACCTGCCCCCCAACTTGTGAGGGAAGTGTCTGTAGTCAGTCTTTGTTGAGACCATGATACTGAACAGGACCTACGCGCACACATTTCCTCTGTCCTCTCACCAGTCAAGGGAGGCTCAGATCCTTTAGTGAACCATGACTGGTGCTGTGGATTTCTCACACTTTTTATTTAAAAAAAAAAAAAAATAGAGCAGTCATGCTAAATTTATTGTTTACCATTACACCTCTTGGATTTTTTTTTTTTTTTTTTTTTTTTAAATTCAAATGAGGAGGTACCGCACATTTAGAGCAACACTGCCCTGGCACTGCTATCCTAATCCCAGTCTGGGTGTGGAGGAAACACTGGTGCCGGGGAGAAGCTACACACTCACTCACCTGCAGGAACGGGCAACTTTGTGTTCCCCTGGATGAGAGGGAGCCTGTCCCACACTCACTTCAAGTACAGGCAGAGATGAACTGTGCTCCCCACTCTAGGCATTGCGACCTGGTGCACCGGGTTACAGTGATGCTCAAGTTTCCCCCTCCTCACCCCTATAATGGAGGGATGGTTGGGCTGGCCCAAACCTGAGTAATGCTACAACCCTGCATGCCTGGTTGCAATGCCCAGGGTGAGGAGCCAGGCCCAGGCCTGTGAGATAGGAGCCACAGGAGCGATCACTATGGGATGAGTAATGGATGGGGAAAAAAAAAAAGGCCCACAGGTTCAGGAGCCAATCCTGATCAGAGCTCTTCTGCAAGAAGAGCAAAGGCTACAAGTGCCAGAAGGCCAACAGCTGACCTCTTTAGCTCGCTTGAGCTCTTACCTGCAACCAGCCGGGTAATAAGCAGGCATTTTGAGGGTGCACTCAAGTGTGACCTTCCAGCCTGTGTCCTGGATCCAGCACCCCTGTTATTTTCCAGCCGTTTATCCCCCTACCTCCCTGCCTGAGTCTCTATAACATTGGACCAGTGGGTCCTCAGCACAGTAGTAGGGGGATATACCCTCCAGTTCATTTCTATCCCTCCCTCGCACTTCAGGGACCCTTCTCACGAGCATCTGCTCACCCAAGAGATGCAAGGCCTCCTGCGGGTGGGAGTCGTGGAGGAAGTTTCTCTGCACTTGAAAGGGAAAGGGTTTTACTCATGCTATTTTTTGATCCCAAAGACCAAGGGAGGGGGTCTATGTCCCATTCTCGACCTGCGAAACCTCAACAGGTATCTCAAGAAGTCGAAGTTCCTCATGGTCTCCCTGGCCTCCATCATTCCTTCCCTGAATCCGGGAGACTGGTACACTGCCCTCAGTCTGAAAGACGCTTACTTTCACATATGGATATTTCACAGACACAGAAGGTTCCTACGATTCATGGTTGGGACTGCCCACTATCAATTCGCAGTGCTCCCTTTTGGCCTGGCAACGGCACCAAGGGTGTTTATGAAGTGCATGTCAATAGTGGTGGCCTACTTCAGATGTCAGGATATCCAGATCTACCCGTACCTCGACGACTGGCTCAACAAGGGCCACTCCAGAGTCCACATCCAGCGCAGCATCGCAATGTTGCTAGCCACTTGTCAAGCTCTGTTGATAAACGAACAAAAATCAACATTGGTTCAGGTTCAAAGGATAGAGTTTATTGGAGCGGTCCTTGACTCTACCTGAACCAGAGCGTTCTTGCCAGAGGCCAGGTTCAGGGCAATGTCAGATCTGATCACCAGAATCACTACCTATCCGTTCACCACTGCCCAGGTCTGTCTCAGACTATTGGGGCACGTGGCCGCATGCATGTATGTTGTTTGGCAAGCGAGGCTCAGACTACGTTCTCTCCAGATGTGGCTGGCATCGGTCTACTTCCCAGCCAGGCATCACCTGGACAAACTCTTCATGATCCCGCCGTGAGTACTTACCTCCTTACAGTGGTGGTCTGATCCAGTTCTAGTGTTGGAGGGTGTGCTAGTTTGCGAGCCCAGAACTCACAGTTTCCCTGATATTGGATGCGTCTGATCTGGGTTGGGGAGTACATCTCAGTACACTGCAGACTCAGGCTATGGTCGCGAGAGGAGCTTGCGCTACATATAAACATCAGGGAACTCAGAGCCATCTGCCTGGCCTGTGAAGTGTTCCTTCCCCAACTGTCCGGTCGGGTGATGCAGGTGTTGACGGACAACACGGCCTCCATGTTCTGTGTCAACAGGCAAGAGGGAACTCATTCATCGGCTCAGTGCCAGGAAGCCCTTTATCTGTGGGACTTCTGCATCCAACATGCGATCCACCTGGAAGCCACAGACGCCCCGGCGTCCAGAACACACTGGCGGATCACCTCAGCAGGTCCTACTTCTCTCACAACAAGTGGTCCCTTCACTCGGAGGTTGTCAGGATGCTCTTCCAGAAGAGGGGAGCTCCCCAAGTTGACCTATTCGCCACCAGACAGAACAGAAAGTGTTATCAGTTCTGCTCTCTGCAAGGTCTCGGCAGAGGCTCACTTTCCGATGCCTTTCTCCTATCTTGGTCAGGAGACCTGATGTATGCCTTCCCGCCAATTCTGCTCATCAGCAAGGTCCTCTTAAAAATTAAGAGGAACAAGGCATGGATCATTATTATCGCCACAGCTTGGTCTCGCCAACATTGGTTCAGCATGCTCATGGACTTGGCCGTAGCAGCCCCATGGGCACTTCCTAGCTGCCTGGACCTACTCTCACAGGATCACTGTCGGTTGCTGCACCTGAACCTCGTCTCTCTCCACCTCACAGCTTGGATGATGCGTGGCTGAATCCAGAGGAACAAGCCTGCTCTAGTCAGGTACAGCACGTGACCTTGGAGAGCAAAAAGCCCTCCACCAGAGCAACTTACCTGGCAAAGTGGAAGCGATTCTCCTGCTACGTGTCAGAACGGAATATCTCCCCGAGCCAGTCATCTCTGCAGTCCGTTCTGGATTACCTGCTTCATTTAAAGCACCAGGGCCTTGCCTTATCTTCGATTAAGGTTCACCTGGCGGACATATCGGCCTTCCATCCCTGCGTCCAGGATAGATTGGTATTCTCTCATGAGATGACTATCCGATTCCTGAAAGGCCTTGAAAGACTCTTTCCACCGGTCTGGGACCCGGTCCTCCACCTTGTCACCAGGCTCATGGGCCCGCCCTTTGAGCCTCTAGCTTCTTGTTCCCTTTCCCACTTGTCGTGGAAGGTCGCATTCCTTGTAGCTAGAATGCAGGAGACCCTAATTCAAGTCCCTGCTCCAAGGACTATTTATTTATAAAAAGCGCAACAATTTCAACAGGAGAGATTGAGACCCAGCCCACACTACCCCATAGCCCAGTGGCTAGAACACTCTCCTTCGCTGTGAAGGACACAACTTCAAATCAATTACTTAACTTATAGTATTTTTTCTTCTGAGGTATTATCATCCGTGTGGATCCCACAACCAGCCCTTCATCCCCACTTTTTCAGAGCCCTTATTATCTGGGATTCTGAATTAGCAAGGGAACTGAGGAATGGTTGCAGCTGCTCTGTCCTTTATGCCCTTAGGTGTGGGGTATAAGGACATACATGGTGCAGGCATGGCTGACTGCAGTTCAAAAGATTCTAATCTCACATGCCTGGGGAACGTGCACACCTAGAATGGGATTCACAGAGACTTCTCAAAGAACCATAGTTACTATAAGATAAGTAACCATTCTTTTTCATAAGACTTCTGTGACAACAAATGTGCTTTTTTTGCTGCTGCTTTTCATGCAGGTGGAATCTGTGTGGAGTGCCAGGCTGTTTCTTACAAGAGCTGTCAAACCCAGCATCCCAATATGTGAAAAATTTCAGGAAAAAAAAGGATGAGTTGACACAGAAGCTCTACACTCTTTATAACAACACCATCTTTGAGCAAAAGGTAGCTTTTGTAAACACATTTCTGGACAATAAAATCACTGTTATCCTGCTAACTAGCTTTCTCTGTGAAACCATTGCCCTTTCCTTCTAGCTCACTAACTGGGATGAAGCTCAGCCTTGTAACAAGGTGCTTCTATTTGAATCAGGTCAAAAATGTGAGGGTTTTAAAAAGGGATTTATCATAGGTTTACTCTGGGAGTTATCAGACTTTCTCAGTGTGAATTATCTCTTAATAGTCTTGTGGAGAAAGACCTCCTGATCCATTCATTACTGCAAGGACACAAACTCCCTTCCCATTCATAATCATGTAACATCCCTAAGTAACTATATCTGTTGCTTATATGGAAAATTGATTTTTAGATGCCTTGGGTGAATCTGGTCCCTTATGGAGCCTTCTGATTCTTATATGTCTAGATAGTTGTATAGCCCCCATTGCATTGGAATGCTTCTCTTACTCTCATGTAGCAGTGGACCCTAATTGAGGCATCTTAAGCTGGCTCCTACTCCTGTAAAAGAAGCTGGAACCAAAGAGCCCAGCACCACTTGATCAGCCAGCTCTCTGCAGACCAGAAGTGCTTGCCTGGATCATAGTTTGGGAATTGCTGCTGTAGGCTCTCTAACTGCACAGGTTACCCAGATGATTGGCACTTGGGTTAGCCTACCCCAGCATTTCGACAACAAAGCCAGACTCACCTTACTGAGTCCTCACTGTTTCTGCACTCATTCATGTGTATGGTTCTCTGTACTGAGATGCTCTACGAGACTTTCCCAGTCAATTACAAGAACTTGTCTGTCCTTCATGGGGAACTGTGGGAAGGATATTGGAGGATTATCAGAACTTGAGTGATTTTTGCCTGCATCCTATCTGCAGAATGGACGGTGTCCAGGGCAAGTGAAAGGGAAGCCTAGGTTTTAATCTATACCCCTACCTGTATAAACTATCCTGCATTTAAAGCACCTTCAAATTCAGATCAAAAGTTTTACTTGTGTGGATGGTAGAGGAGTTTGGACTAAAAACCAGGTAAGAGTTCAGGTTAATTGTGCAGTGAAGACGTGCACTAAGCATACCAGCAATACTAGAATCCTGAAAGAGATGGTTCCTTTCTGCTGCTATTTTGGAGCAACAAGAGATCAGAGATTAAGCAGTTTGATAGGATTAGAAGAAGTTATACATCCTGGCAAGGGAAAATTGATGAGATTTTAAAAAGAGGTCTGGATAAACTGGGGACAGGTAGGTCAAATGATCTTATAAAGGGCTCCGCTTTAATTTGGTAGCTAAGTATTTGAAAGACAGCTATTAAGCATCAGTGAAGGACATTTAATACCTCCTTAGACAATCTCCTGGGGAAGGCTTCAACCCCCATTGTGTGTTCAGAGAATTGTTTTGGAAAATAGGGGATAAAACCTTAGATCAGGGATCTTGATAAGCAGGTTGTGTGAAAGAGGGGATGGAGACATGTCTCTCTGAATACCCGAGGAAGAGATTGTCCCGCTGACCAGGGCAGGGAGGTCATATAAGGACTTGGTTTCTAGAAATGTGAGATTTTCCTTCTTTTCTCTGTACTCTTACTTAAGTGGTATAATGCAAACAGTTCTTTTTTGGTTTCCTACCATTTTCTCTGCATTTAATAAAACTTTTTAAAGAATATTACTATTGTGTGGCTGTTTCATACTCTAAAGATAGTGAAGTTCTTCAGCCTCTAAGGAGAGGTAGAGAAGGCAAAGTGAGTTTCTCAGATCTAACTTCCCACTATCTCTGTCTAAAGAGTATGAACAAAGGTGTCCTTTCCCACCAAGGTGTGTTGTGAAGGGCTGTGGTGGTACACACACACAAGGGCAGAAGTTTAAGGACCTGAGGAAGTGAGATGAGCTGGCAGTGATGTGGTTCCAGGGGGTGTGGATGGAGGGGCAAGCAGGGGCACAGGCCCCCCCAGTAATCATCAGGGGCCTCCGGGTGTGGGGGAGCCTCCAAAAGGGGTCAAATTTAAATTCCTGCACATGCCCCTGCGTGGTTCAAATGCACTGTTCCATTTTTTTTATCAGTTGCCAGAGAAAATGGAAATCATCTGGAACAAAAAGATGCGGAAGACAGCAGGGTACTGCGTCACTGGACAAACAAAAAGCCCTGAGGTACAACGCTATGCTCGGATAGAGCTCTCAGAGAAAGTTTGTGACTCTGCAGGTAAGGGAAAGAGGATATTGAATATTAAATAAGGGGAAAGAATATTTATTCTTTCTGCATAACAGCTCTAAGATGCAACCTTTCCTATCCATCCACACAGCTAAAACTTTTATCCAAGCTCTCATCATCTCGTTCTGGAAACTCCCGCCGAGCCTCACACACAGAACCCCCCAATGAGCCCCACTCCCCCTGCACCTGGACCACCCCGATGAGCCGCCCCAACCAGCTGCACCTGGATCCCCACCCCACTGAGCCCCACTCCCCCAGCATCTGGACCCCCCATTGAGCCCCCCACACCCAGACCCCCCCCCTGCTGAGCCCCAACCACCTTCACCTATACCCCCCTGCAGAGTCCCATTACTGTTACACCCAGAATCCCCCAACAAGCCCCTGTGCATCCAGACACCTCCCCCCCCCAGCACCTGGATCCCCCACTGAGCCGCTCACACCCAGATTGCCGCACACAGAACCCTTTCAATCCACACCTGGATCCCCCCACCCTAAACCCCTCCACACTTGGATCCTACCTGCCCATACCTGGTGCACCTGGCTCAGAGGGGCAAGGCCCTGGGATGTTTCTGGGGCAGACCCGATCCTTGCGCTGTGTCAGGGTTGGGTGCAGCCTCACCGCTGAGTCTGTGTCCCGGGGGGGGAGCTGCACAGTGATCTCCCACCTCTGTGCAGCCAGTGACCGGTGCTCCCCAATGCCATGCTGGAGCCTCCACATTTATTTAACAAATAAAATTTGCAGAATTTTAAAATATTGTATGAAGAAGTTTTAATTTTTTGGCACCGAAATTTTAATTTTTTGGTGCAGAATGTCCTCAGGAGTAATTTATACTGTATTCACTTCTCAGAGACTTTGACCCCCTTGGCTGAAGGACTCAGCTTGCAAGAGCTCTGTCCCCTTTTATCTGTCCAGTGATGGATGCCAAGATGGCTGCTTCTTCTCTCCGTATATCTTCCCAAACTCACTGTTTTGTCCCCAGACTCAGGATAATCTCATGATGTTTTTTCCTGCCTGTGGATCTCCCATCCCCTTGCTGATTCATATGTAAATAGGGTTTCCATTGTTTTTGGTCACATCTTGCTTAATTTAATTGGAGATGTGTAGATACTCCCTTCCCTCCTTTCTGGGGGAAAAACTTTCTCCCTGTGTTTTGGTCACAGCCTTTTAAAGCATATCATCAGTGAGTATCCACAATTCCTCATATAGTGCTAATGCAGACACTTCACAATGCTATTAGTCGTCATTATGTCACAGGCTTTCATAAAAGACATTACTCAATGCACTTTTTATAATACAGCAATGTTATATACAATCAGTTGATTCAATTGCTTATCATTTGAGGGGCAGACCCCCATAATAGGCTGTCTCCCCCACTCACTAAGTTGATGGCTTTGTTGATCTTTTATCTAAATGCACTTTCATTATCTCAACCTGATGACAAACAACTATACACTCATTTGTTTAGGGCAGATGGGGATTATGCATTGCTTGCCAAACACACTTTAAAACCATAATTCTAACATATATCCATAACTCTTTGTACACCCCATATACACACTACTCCTGGGGGAATCCTGTGCCTAAAAATTCTGCACATAATATTTTAGAATTCTGTATATTTTATTTGTCAAAATAACACAATATAATCACTCCAGATTCAATTATTTTGGTAACTTATTTCTAAATACATATCAACAATACAGACAACAGCAAAAAAGATTCCCCCAAGAGTAGAGCGTTAAAGAAGCCCCTATGATAACCCAGTTCCAGTTGGGGGCTGCTGGAGGGAACTGTGTAGGGCTCCCAGAGCCCAGATACCTGCACTCCC